ATTCTAGCCCTTCTGGCATGCTTGTCATTTGTTTTAGGAAACACTGAAGAGGATACAATCTCCTCCATAAAATGTTGTGTCCAGAACTGTACATAATAACCCAGGTGAGGCCTACCCAGTGCCATGCAGAGTGGTACCACCACCTATTACATACAATCATTTTGTAAATGCTGTCCCAAAATTATCATTTTGCTTATAGGTATCTGGGCTTTCCAATAAATATTACACCTCTTGAGACTGCTTTTATATACAACAGAACAAAGCAACCAGAATAGGCACAGTGCCTCTGTGTTTTGTACTTTCAGGCGCACTGATTATGTTTAATAAACTGACAATAAGAATTAGGCTCCTGATCTGTTCATACCTCTAGGATGCTGCAAGAAAGTACAATTATAAAAGGTTAACACTGTTTAAATATTTATAATTGATGAATGAACAAAATATCATTAGTACTCCACTGATTACTCTTACTGATAGTGATTACACCATGGAGAGATATGATCAGACCTCTGTTCCATATGCAAATAACCAAACTACGCAATTGCTCAGAGCAGTAACACGTGCAGCTCAATAGGGTCAAATGAGGACTACAAGATTGCTACACACATCAGTGATTGCTATAGTCAGTCAAAGCATATGTCTGAAGTGTGTGTTTGCAGAGGCTAGACTGTGTCTGAGGAATGCTTTAAAAAACCAAAACACCCAACAGACCATGTAGCAGTTTGTATCCAAGTCAAATCATTTTGACAGATTTTGGAAAGATGTTTTATCAAGTGGCAAGCTAGCTTATAATGTGATTTACCAGTCTGAAGCATCAGCTGAAGATTCAAAGACATACCTTGTTTTTTTCCTGCTGAAACTCTATCTGGATGTTGGTCAGTTTACTTCGAAGCTCCTCATTAGCAGCCTGAAGTGCTTCAGTCTCCATGTCAGGCTTCTCTCCCTTGGCACGGCTTTTCTTGGACATAATTATTTGTAAAGATTAAGAAAAAAAAAGATCTTTTGTTCCACACTGAACCACTATCCAAGCAGCCTTCTGTATTTGGCATTAACAAGCTAAGTAGTTCTCAGTATTGTCTTCCATGTAACTCTTTGCCATCATGGCTGTCTTCCATGTCCTGTCAAAAACACAGAAACAGAAAAAGACCTATCAGACTACAGCATGTTTGACAGAACCATGCATCACACCACATATGAAAGATAAAAATATCTATATTAAGCTATTAGATAAAAACTTTAAATATGTAGCACTATCCTGTAATTTACAATGTACTAAGCCAGTAGTTTTCAACCTTTTATCATTTGCATACCCCTAAAAAATTTCAAATGGAGCTGCAGACACCTTTGAACTGTAAATGTGGATATTTGCATACTTTTGATTGATCGTAGTCATCTTTCACACACCCCTTAAACATAGTCTGCAGACTCCATGCGTCTGCAGACCACAGGGTGAAAACCACTGTACTAGGCTTTTGCAAAGGGTGTAATCCGGGAATGTCTCCTAGCTGCATCCGGGAACGTCAACTAGCTAAAAGGGAGGTGCATGCCCAATGGAAGGGAGGGGCCATCACCAGGGAGGATTATACTGCGGTTGCTCGGGAATGTGGTGGGGCGGTCAGGAGGGCCAAGGCAGAGATGGAACTGGGACTAGCTTCCCAGATCAAGGACAACAAGAAGTCCTTTTTTAAATACATAGGGGCCAAAAAGAAGGTTCCGGGTAAAGTGGGAGCCCTGCAAGACATGCTAGGAAATTTGGTCATCACACCAGACGACAAATCTAATATATTTAATGATTTCTTTGCCTCCATTTTCCTAAGCAGGGACCGGAACAGTCACCCCCCATCTAGGCCCCCCTTAGACCTCAGGGGAGTTGCACCTAGGCCAAGGGTTAGTGAGGACCTAGTTAAGGAACTTCTGGAGGGACTGGATGTATTCAAGTCAGCTGGTCCAGACGATCTCCACCCTAAAGTACTCACGGAATTATCTGAGGTCATTGTGGGATCCCTGACATGGCTTTATGAACACTCGTGGTGCTCTGGTGTGGTGCCAGAGGACTGGGCAAGGGCCAATGTGGTTCCCATCTTCAAAAAGGGGAGGAAGGAGGACCTGGGAAACTATAGGCCAGTTAGTCTTACCTCGATCCTGGGGAAGCTTTTTGAGAGAATTATTCTGGCACATGTCCACGAGGGGCCAGCAGGGGTGATTATGCTTAGGGGCAACAAACACAGGTTCATTAGAGGCAGGTCCTGTCAGACCAACCTGGTGGCCTTATACGAC